TAACACGATAGGTCATATCCATGTTGGATGGCGGGTAGGCGTACTGCTGTAAGTCCTACACGTTATTCCGGTGTGGATTAGGGGATGAGTGGGAACCCTAAATAGAAGTGTCATTAACGCTTGCTCCTTTTGCATGGAGGGATTTTGCGGGCCGGTGTAGAATCCTTTTTGAATGTTTTGTGTTTTGGAAAATCCCTCCATGTTTACATATTTTTGCTATGACATGACGGACTTTTTCTGTTGACATTTTTGGTATTTTATTTGATTCCAATTTGAGATTTTATCATTGTATATTGTTATTCTTTCTATATTTTGTACTTATATTGAAGTTTTTGTGTTTGCTTCTGAACTGTACATATGTTGTTTAAATTTGATATAATATGGCTACCGCCACATTTTTGGACTGATGCAGTGGCCGCTGGACTTAGCGTCACTTATTGGTTACTGTGTCTGATACTCTGCGGAGTAACTGAACCCTGTAAGAAGCACTATTTCCAGGTAATGCTTTGTATTTCCATTTTTTAACTAATACAGACGCATTCTCCCAGAATTTTGTCCTTTTTGAATTGGTTGGGACCCGGGACTGGGAAAAGCGTACAGGAGTGCCTCTATTGGAACCAATTGGGACGGCCACTGTAGAAAAACATTTACAATGTTTTTCATCACTTAAATCAAGAACAAATCTTAGCTTAGCTTGCCGAATCCTCTTCACTGATAACAATATGTGGTTACTGGTGGCTAGTTCCATAATGTATTTCTGGCGATCTAGTGAGAAATCGAGGCCAGTGAAGTTCGATCTGTCAGAATCGAAAAGATTACTTGCCGCAGGCTGTGTATGAAGATTGTGCAACATCCCTGATTGAGTAAAGTTAGATATTGACACCCTCGGATGCTAACCTAGTGGTCTGTAGGCTGGGCGTTCTCACGCAAGGCGGACGTTTCTGAGTCCGTTTTGTGAGTGCGGGTAACGTCAATGCTCAGCGCTGACGAATTCCACTGTAGATGTGATCGGCCGTTCACTGCCTTCAGGCTTTCAACATTGGTCTGGCTTAGATCAGTTTGTGATTTCAACTACGAAAATAATATGCTCTCGATAGATCCCCTCAATCGATAGAAACGTGGTTATCCAAGAAAATTAAATAAATTTTGACTAATATTCTATTAGGCGATGCCAGGCTATTAAAGTCTAAGCACCACAACGCGGAGAAGTCTGAGTTACTGTTAAACTGTTTTTACCATTCATAATGATAAGCCTTATCACCATGTGGAATTTAGAATCATCCTGAATAAATAGTAGCTTCGAGGGGGATCAAACGTAATCGAAATTCTTATTTCGTCGACACTATCACTGAGAGCTGAACTTTGAGAGGCTGATATGAGGTTAGACGATTCCTATGTCTGGAGTTCTGTCAAATTAGCTTTTGTCTTTTTTGAGTTTTGACTGGCTTCTTTGTTTGTTTTTAACGGAGCATCATGTCCTTGGATGACAATTAGATCCATAAAACCACTGTTTACACACACAAAATGCGTAGTCACTTAGCTAATTTCGGTGTCTATTGAGAAATAGTTGAAAGTATTGATAAACCGTAGCCGGTGGTGGAGAATGGTACAAAACATGTTTTAAATGAATAGTTTAGTAATTTCATTCACTCGTTTAGATTCTGTTTACTTGGTGAGGAGGTTGTGGTGTACGGTAGCACCTTAGCACATAATAAACAAATAAATATCTTCTTATACAAATGTCAACTGTTAAGATGATGAGAGGGTCATCACTTCGAATTACACTCTTTCCAGCCGCCATTCATCCTTGAAGAATTGAGTCTGAAGTTTTCCTAAGTGTTGTACTTGTGGAGTATTTCCGAAATAACGCAGATGAAGTTTCTACAAACATATTCTATAGCGTCGAACAGGGTGCTACCCTAGTACGGCTAATAGATGGAAAACATTAGTAAATTAGGGAAAGTTTCGTGACAGAATGTTTAAAGGAAGAACCTCTAGGTACTTAACTTGCAATACACCATTATCGTAATTATTCTTTACTTTTAATTATTCATGGTGTATTTGTTTTACCGATGTCTTCAACTTGGTTTGTTTGTATATTTGACTTCGATCTTTAGGTTTCATTTTAAATCTTCAGTTCTTTATTTGCATTTCGAACTCAGAAAACCTGAATACGGAAGAGCAGTGTTTGGGTAGCACCAAAATTATGATCAAGAAATTTCTATTTGATTGAGGAATGCACTTGGTATTGTCTGTTTTATTTAAGGCCGTTAATCTGTCAGCTATTCACATTTCGTTGGTCCTGGAACCCTGAAATCCTGATATAGCATCAGGTATGAGGATCCACAGTCTATGATAATCCTGATGACGGGAAGTAGGTTCGGTTGTTGACACTATCGTCTGCACAGAAAATTTCTGTGAGACCAAAGCTCCGGTTGGGCACAAGATTGAGTGGAAAAGGAAACAGTTAAACATTGCATCTAACCAAGTCCCTCATTTAAGAAATGAAGTCTGATGTTGGCATGATCCTGGTTCTTGGTAACTCAAAGCAGTTTTGGTTATTGTCTCGTGAAATATGTACTAAACGCCAAAATATTTTTGGGTCACGTTCGAGAATTCCTTTTGGAATAATCTAGAAACGTGTGGTGAATTCAGACGTAATTTAGCAACGTTCTTCTGAATACTTCTTAACTCTTTACTTCAGTTTTTTGTGTCAGTCTAATTTTCTAGAAGTCAGCGAGCAATTCACATATGAAGACGTTCATTCCGAATATCACTAGATGCGTACCTGCTATACTTCGTACGCCATAGAAATTTCTCGTGATCTCGTTCGATTGACATATATAAGACTACCAATATCAACTTCATTTTGACCTGACAGTTGAAGCTTGTTTATAGTTTATAAAGGCAAGAACTGAGTAGTTGATCTGCTAAGATACGACTAGACTGTTGTTTTCGAAAGGGTGTGCAGGTCATCTGATCAGCCAACGATGACAAGCGACTACTTATTTCTCATAATAGAGATGTTAACGCTTAGATTTTTGGTTACGAAAAATTAATACATGAACTTCGCCAGCAAGTTATGAATGCAGTACCGAATATCAGACATGACAGAAATATCGATAAAATGTTCTTCTGAGATTTCGAATTAGGGCCACTCCAGAAAAAGTCCTGAAATCTATGTTTTATAGTTACAAGTATTTCTGTCCTGATGGTTTGCTAAAATACTGTTAGTAGGTAACAGAATTTATTAGTACCAACAGATAGCTGAAGCAAAAGATAGTCTCATTGCTGCTTTCACCGGTGAATGTCTTACAGTCGACTGGTGCAAGTTGGTTGTCCTTGACGTCGACGGCGATCAGCAAGCCGCTTAACACTCACTGACTGGCCTATCAGGTGATTTATCTCGGCTTTAGTGATATTTCGCCGATCACACTACAGCGAATATCACAACAAGGTTATAACTGAAAACTTTCGTTCTCGGGAGTTGGTTAGGGAAAAAGTTTGATGTTCAGAAGTAGCAAAATTCGATGTGCTGACAAGACTTACCCACAACTCTTCAACTCTTACAACATTCAGTACATATGGATCAGCATCTAAGTCAGATAGAAATTCGTAGGCACAGTCCAAATAATTGTATTCGGACATGGAATCACGAGAATAATAATATGTGAGGCAACAGTCATTATTCGCTGGAACAATAGGGGAATGGAAGTATAACACGCTCCTGAAGCCTGGAAGTAAACAGTTCTGAAAATGTCTTCATATAAGTAATCGAGTAAGCCGGCTGATTATTCCTTGAAATTGATCTACAGGCAAATGATCCGACTTCATGATGTCTAGACCAGCTGAATAAGTGGGACAGCAGTTTTCAAATTTTTTTGGAGGAGTTATTATAAGACTGGGATTTATTCAATACACTGCCTTTCGATAGTCATAATTTCATCCGACTCTTTTCACCTTCTGATGACTTTATTCAGTGTTCCAGTAATATCGAGTTCTCGGGCGTCTATCGTGATCGTTTTCCTGCCAAATATAAGACAGTCATTTCGTTGCCTAGAGAAAGATCTTCCTGTTTCATGAAGATTCCTGTATTGTCTTACAGGTTGGATCCTCTTTGTTCTATTTGCCTCCCACTAGTGCTGATATAGAAATGTTTTCAGTTGCTGAGGAAACGTTTCCACCTTCTCGTTACAAAAATTGACCTTCTGAAAGTTGTTTCAGATCACTGACAAGCTTTGCTGTATACCTCTAAACTTTCATGCAGTCAGTTCAAAATCCTTAACTTTAGCTCCAGCCTTAAATACAACCCTTCTTATTTCTGACATAATGAATAATTTGAATGATCACATTTGTTCAAAGTATACCCCTTGTTGGATCCCCTGGTACTATCCCAACAGTTGTCGGCTAGCAGTGGTTATGTGAAACGCGGAGCTCTGAAAACATGGCTAGAGGGTTCTTACGCTAGATGCCACTAACATCACAACTATTCAGCAGTTGGGTTTTCTCACGTTGGTACGAGATTCGATTTACAAAAGTTTCGGATGATTAAAAAAAATACTTGCAGGAAAAGTTTCTGATAATCTTACAACCAATATACTCAGTTACATCACAATGATAATTGATTACACCAGTCTGTGACCGATGTTTCAATTAACACCTGCTTATGCATTTTTTTATTTTGATTTACATAAAATAATTCAAAATAACCTAGAATCACTTCGTATTGTGCTACAGAACTGTTTGTGTTGCATACACGTCAAATGTTCTATACGTGTGTTTGACTAAGCTTGAATGTTTCGACACTTGAATCGGTGTCCTAAGTCTTGTGAGGCTTGAATGACATTTCTGGTGTTTAGATGTCTCCAACTCCTCCATCCAAACGACAAAAAATACTGACCTCTACAGAAAACAATAATAACATTTTTCACACAAATACTAACAACAATTTGTCAAACGTAAATTTTATGTTCGAGTAGTTTCATTTTCTCTTACAGGGGATGGAAGCCAACGGAGAAGTCACTGATTTGGACGAAAGTCTTTATAGTCGGCAGATTTATGTTTATGGAACTGAAGGCATGCGTCGAATGGCAAACACAGACATTTTAGTTATTGGCCTGGAAGGACTTGGCCTCGAGGTCGCTAAAAATATTATTCTTGCCGGAGTTAAGTCTCTAACATTGTGTGATAACTCTCCATTGTGTATCGCTGACTTAACATCTCACTACTTTGCGGACCTCAATGATATAGGACATCCACGTGCTGAAGTTTGTAAGAACAAAATTAAGCGAGTTAAATAATCATGTGTCTGTCCGAGTGATAAACAAGCAGAAGCTTGGTACTGATGACTTTAAGAAGTTTAGTGTAGTGGTTTTAAACCAGGGGTCGGACGATCTATGTCTTGAATATGGAGATATTTGTCGGAGCTTAGGTGTTAAATTCGTAGTAGCTTCAACTTGCGGACTTTTTGGCAAAGTGTTTTGTGACTTTGGAGCAGATTTTGTATTGTATGATCCAACTGGTGAATTGGCTCCCTCAGTTATGATTCAACAAGTAGAGAAGGTAAAATGTTTAGCAATAAATATTGTTTAGAGCAAACAAGGACTTGTCACTTGTTTAGAAGAGACCCGTCATGGGTTTCAGGACGGTGACTACGTATCTTTCTCTGAAGTAAAAGGTATGGTGGAGTTGAATGGCTGTGAACCCCGAAGAATCACTGTTGTTGGTAAGTACTGCCCCTGTACGTGGTCACCTTTCTAGGACCTGATGTATTTTCCATTGGCGATACGTCTACTTTTAGTTCATATATTTCTGGTGGCATGTGTACGCTTGTTAAAATGCCATTAAAAATCAACTTTGTAGGTTTTCTATTTATTAGTATTGATTCTTTACAGTTGCCCTGCCGAACAGCCTACTGTTCCCCAGTTTTCATGACAACAGACTTCGCCAAAACTGAGCGTTCCGCACAAATTCATCTTTTCTTTAAGGCTCTTAGTGATTATAAGAACAGCAACGGATCCATTCCTAAACCTTGGTGCAAAGATGATTCTCATGCCTTTGTGGATTATGTTCATAAAGTGAATGAACAAGTGAAAGGCACAGGTGCTTCAGTCCCGTCCATTGATGAAAAGCTAGCTTTACTCTTTGGATGTATCTGCTCAGGTCAATGCTCTCCTGTCATGGTATACCATTTGCTTGATTTATCTTGATTTAAGTAGTCTTTTACAGGCAGTTTCGCTGCTCAAGAAGTAATGAAGGCATGCAGTGGAAAGTTTACACCGTTGCAACAGTGGATGTACTTCGATGCAAGCGAATGCCTCCCATTAAGTTCAGATGGAGATTTTGTAATCTCAGAGGACGATGCTAAGCCGATTGGATCTCGTTATGACGGCCAAATTGCGATATTTGGACGTGCGTTCCAACAAAAGCTAAAAGATTTAAAATATTTCATAGTAAGGCTTCATTTGTTTAGTGTAATACTTCATTTACAGGTTGGTTCAGGTGCAATTGGATGCGAGTTACTCAAAAACTTCTCGTTGATGGGCGTTGGTGCAGGACCGTCTGGAAAAGTTGTCATTACGGACATGGATCTCATTGAAAGATCAAACCTGAATAGGCAGTTCCTCTTTCGTCCATGGGATATTCATAAAATGAAATCAGTGGTGGCATCAGCCGCTGCTAAAATGATAAATCCGGAGGTTGGTCATACTGTTTGATCTAGATAATCTGCAGAAATTCATTTGGAATTTCGATTACATTATAGTATTCCCATGACAACTTACTATATAAAAGCCTAGATAAGTTAAGGTTTAAAACATGTTCCTAAAAACTATGGTTGAGGTGGGTGAAACAACAATCCGAATTGCGCACTAATCATAACTATTACTTTGGTTTTATGGAAGCTGCACCTGTATCCTGTTAGCTGCAAAGTGTACAATTGCTTTTTACCTCACCTCTCAGACATCTGGCTGTTTGCTTCGTGTTATAGGTACAAATGATATCGAAAGAATAGCATATTTAATCGATAGTCAAGTATTAAATATCTGTGCACTAAGAAGGATTAGAGCACTCCGGTGTTTTCTGCTTCTTGTTTACTTTCACTAGCTATGGTCCCAACAAAAAATTAACGATTTCATCTCTTAAACGACGAACATTCAAATATGTATGTTCTATCAAGTAGTCGAATGTTCAGATGGCTAATCTGATTTCATCCAAAAGGTATCACTACCAGCAAACGTATGGACGATCCTTGAAACTGAAAATTACTCATTAGTTTATGCAAAAGCCTAAGTAGTTTGTGAACACTAACTCAATTTAAAACACGAGCAAACCTTTTTGCATTTATGGCTGATACTAGTTACGGATTTTCATTAGGGAACTAAATCACCATACATAGACAAAAAGATAGAAAAAAAGTAGCTATAAACAACTGTTTATATTTATCAGATGGAACACTTAGAAATTTGACAGTCGCTTGAGCAATTGCTCCTTAATAATATAATTTTATTAATTAGTGGGGCAAGCGAAAAATGGTGTGGTTGACATCTAACTACTGGTTATTTACTCATAGACTACCCTAGAAACTCGTCAGTCGTTCAGCTCTGTAGTTGGGCGGGGCATAAAATACTCCAGTTAACAGCGGCATCTGTTGTAGTAATTTTATGACCGGCAAAGTCTTAGTGTGATTATACATCCCCATAGTGGTGTTTATCTGAGCTAAAATATCTTGTATGCAACTATTGAGAGCCGAATAGTAATGATTTTGTGACAAGCTATAACCAGCTCTTCAAAGTCCATCAAGCAGTTCATAAACCTTTTTGTTGATCTACTCTAATAATCTGCTTTCCAAAAAATATTTTGATGTCAAACAAATCGAAATTCTGGTTTTCACTTTTGATATTTCTATCCTTCATTCACCACTGTAGAAGTAGTGGCTTAGATATTACATTTACTACGATATGTACCCGTGTAAAGTTGTCGACAATATTTGAAAATCAAAGTTGTGGTGCGTACAAGTTAATAACGATGTTTATCTGTTATCGTTTCAGCTACATATTGAAGCTCATGAAAACCGCGTTGGACCAGAAACAGAAAACATATATGACGACGAATTCTTTGAAAAATTGGATGGAGTCGCCAATGCATTAGACAACGTTGAGGCACGCACTTATGTCGACCGTCGTTGTGTCTTTTACCGCAAACCTCTTTTAGAATCTGGAACTTTAGGGACTAAGGGTAATGTACAAGTTGTTATTCCTTACTTGACCGAATCTTACTCATCTTCACAGGTAAGCTAAACAGTTATAATTATTTTTGTGAAGCATTGTTAAATTAATCAATTTTAAGGCGATAGTCTGTACCTACTTCTGGCCAATGTATGTGCGGTAGCGCTCAAACATGAGGTCATTGGTTGAGATCCCAAATTATATACTTTGTTTTGAACAACCGGTTTGTATAATTATCTCTTTTTGCAGTTCAATACCGATCAGCTGATAAAGATCAAAGTTTAGCAGTTAGCTTTTAAGATCCTCAATCGTGCTACTAAGTGTGTTATTCTAGAACAAATCTTTAGGAATCCAATTTACAGTAAATTGATTAGTTGTACTGAATTCTTCGCGTTTATTATGCTTGGGTGCGTTTATCGTTTTACCTTTGATTAACTTGGATTGTTCACCATCGATAAGACATGCTTCACATGGATACTAGCGTTATGCATATTTAGAAACATACCATGTGTAAGAAATTCAGTCAAAAACATCTGTGCGTGAACTGTTTTTCCAGTTGGTCTCATATTCTTGGTAGTGACGTTATCTATACATTGAAATTAGAGTTTTTCTGTGTAACTTCCAATGTTCATTCCTTATATTGCAGGACCCTCCGGAAAAATCATTCCCTGCCTGCACTCTGAAGAACTTCCCTTATCTCATTGAGCACACCCTCCAGTGGGCACGTGATTTATTTGAAGGACTTTTTGTCCACCAGTCACAAGCGATGAGTTCGTTTTTGCAGGTTGGTTCAGACTTATTATGCATACGAATTTTTGAGCACATGTGCAAACAAAAATGTTTTGATTTATATGTCCTGATACTATCGTTCAAGTTTTTGTGAGACAATCTTATTTCATATCAGTAAAATTTTAGGTGTCTTGGTAATATAGACTCTATTATTTGATTTTCCAGTTTATTCAGTTAGTCTGTTTATCGTTTGATATTAACTGGATGCATAGGAACTATGCTTTCCACATGACCGGCAAGCTAATACAGTTCCCATTCCACAAAGCGGTTAACTATTTCTTCGTTAAAACAGAAAAGTAAACTTGGAGCACTATCACGAAGAGCATGCACTCACTTTTGGTAGTGAGTTGTTAGTGTCAGAATGTTCATCCAATATCGTAAGAGAATTATTCGGCAATTCCTATTGGTTAATTCCTACTGGTCAATTTTGTGGTCGTACGAGATATCAGTGTCACGTACTCCAACGTTGTTTCCTACTGGTCGTCTTAACTGCCACTGTCACTTTAAATGTTGTTTCCTATTGGTCGCCTTAGCTGTCAATGTCACAGACTTCGATGCTGTTTCCTTCTCGACCTAAATGTAACGTTTTATGGACCGGACCCCTAGTCCGGGATCCCGAATCTCTTCTGGATTCGGACTTGGTACTTTCTGGATGCTTGTAGAATACAGGTTCTACTTCATATCAAGTCTTCTGTCACTCAATGGGGGTTGGGAGACTCGGATTAGAGTAGCATGTCGTGTCGCCGGATCCTCGCTCTCGTTTTCCGACCAAAGTAAACTCGTAATAATAATTCAGGCATATCAAAATGACATGTTTACGTTCATGCGTAACATTTAGAGTTGGTCGGGAAGCTTTTAGGCTTGAGTACTTGTGTTGGTGCTGATAATTTAGTGGAAAATGAGACTAACGCTCGTATAGTTAAATCCGATGAACCTAATGTCACTGTAGGCTAACCTTAACGCCATTCTAATGTTGATCTGACCGTAAATTTTAGAGCTTTGTGCACTGGTGAAATCAGTTCTGTTATATGGTTGTGAAGCAGCCTCTTCAAGTTGAGAATGTTCAGTCACTGCGTTCGATTATTGTCATCTATGGAGGGCTGCTCACTTCCAGTGTTAACCATGTTACTGATGACGAGGTCATCAAGTATGTATATATTAGCAATGCCACTATCTTGAAACGCTGGCTTTGATGACTTGTCCGAAGAACTTTCGCATTGTGTATCACTTATCAATTATGGAGCCGGGCGAACAAATGAAGTGGGTTTTATTTCATAATATAGCTCTCTGCATGAAAGATTGCAGAGTAAAAGAAGAACATATACGGTCTATCTCTACTCGGTAGGGTCCTGCAGGTCATGTAATGCGAGACGTTTGATTTGTCTTAGTATAGGAGTCGATAGTTATCCAGTTTTGTTATTTTATTTTTACATTTTCTTCAAAAGTGAGAACTCTTCATTAAATCAAGTTTTTCTTAATTTTATTTCTAACTGAGCAATATCTAATAATAAATATTTTTGCTTGTTTATTGATTTACACTATCCTCCCTGATCTTTTTTCATGACGTTCTCACATCATTCATGTGATACTCGTTGCCCTACTTCACTGAAATTTATCTTCCCGAGTAATGTGTCAGGAACATGTTTTTGTGTTAACTGGCGTGTAGTAGTCATGTCATTTGTATTGACAAATCAGTACTTAAATACTTACGTAGCTTTCAAGAACCAACGTTATATATGGATGATGGCACTTAATATCACTCATTTATCGATCCGCACTTTTTCCACGAGTAGATCTCTTCGTGGCATTGATAAATGATTGTTATCCATCTATTTTCAGTCTGCCCCACCCATAGTAAACTGGTCAGCTGTGAAATGTTGTTCGTAAAGTTGTTTCCTCCTTTGTTTTTATCTTTTTCTTATTCAAACCAATGTTACAATGTTTAAACAGTTCTTTACCAACTAGTATTATAATTATGTAAAAGATTATTTCCTCTAATCTGGAAATCAGTACATAGAGAAATAAAATATTGTACCAATAACATACCAATAGGAGAAACTTCTTTATGCAACCAATATGTAAACTAAAGAAACATTTGTTTAAGATATAATTGAAAATTCGTTTCTGCCATTCGCAAACTGAATTCATTTAAAGCAATCCTATCCTTATCTTTTCACGTTGTAGGATCCCCCAGGCTTTTTAGAACGAACATTATCAAATCAAGGAAATCAACCCTTGGAAACACTAGAAACTTTAAAAACAAATTTAATAGACAAAAGGCCAAATAACTTCGAAGATTGCGTCACTTGGGCTAGATTACTCTGGCAGGTAAGTGTAAAGGTCCCAAACATCTTCAGTAGGTGCGCTCATCGTAATTATTTGCTTTTCGTACTTCATTACTTCAGTACTTCGCGTATCCTAATGACCTCAATGTTATTGCGACTAATTGTAGACCGAATCAGGTCCAGTTTGACCTGTCTGGTTACTGTTTCCATCATTCCAATGTTCATCTTTATTGCATTAGTGCACAAGAATTTCTACAAATGGTATTTGTCGCTCAATATGAAGAAAAAACCAGAAATTTGAAACAGTAGTCCAGCATCTAAATAAGTTGTTTGATGAGGAATTCATTTCCAATACTTATTTCTTGATTAGGTGAATGTAGGTTCCTGGAAAGTTTCGGTGCCAGATGTTATCGTAACGGACATACCTACTTTGTGATGGTGGAGAAAACTTGTAGCTCAGGTGGATGATTGTGGTGGTGATGTTGTTCAGAAGAACAATGAAAGCTCCACAACCAAAACAACCAGCTCAGAGAACGAAACACCACCACAATACCTACTTTGTGTTCAATTCAGATTTTCTAGGTGCTAATTTAGAACGGTTGCTGTGACTTTAAAAATATCTAGAAAAGCTGTCTCAGTAGACCGGCAACTGTTTGATCTGAAAAACATAAGAGCTCACTACAAATCATATGAATAATATTTACTACACTAGGACGAAACAAAAATTCTTTGATCAGGGCGCTTGTTAGTGCATGTTTGAGGACTCAGCTTACATTTTGTTTAAAACCTACAAGTTTGTAAAGTTTGGCAGAAACAACCCATTTCACCATTTCATTTCAAATCTTCAGCCAAAATGGTTTCATTTTCATTAAGCGTATAGGTTCATGAAACACTCGTTTCTATTGTATTCATTTGAAGTATTAATATCGTTCAGTTAAATATCATGTTTTTCGGATTTTCTCATGTATCAACCTTCGTACTAAACAAAAGTATACCTCTGTAAAATTCTGATACTGAGTTGGTTGATGTAGTTTAAACCACAGCCCCATGACTGTTGTAAACGTATAGTATATGTGCTTGGGCATTTAATGCCGTTAGCTGTTTAGTATTTTTACAAGTAACTAAGGAATTCAATTCTGTCATTTAATACATATATTTAAAACGAGTTTCCTTACAGGATTTGTTTTCAAACACTATCGCACAACTTTTGTTCAACTTCCCTCACGATCATGTCACTTCAACTGGTTCTGATTTTTGGTCAGGAACAAAACGATGTCCCCATCCATTAGATTTTGATGTACAGAACGTGAGTTTTTTTGAGTGCATCTAAATTAAACCTTTTTCTACTTAAGTTCCATAACCAATGTATATAATAAGACAGCATGCATCATTATACTTCGCAAATAACATTGTTCTTGTTTATTTCTGATTACTTAGGAACAACCAGTTTTTCAGTCATTGTTTATTCAAGGGTGGTGAAGATTGCATCTGATTGTCTTCATTGATAGCTGAATACTGTTCTACAGATCTATGACTAGTGTTCATAAAGTCTAGCAGTTAGGTAATTGTTTCATTGTAATGAACGACTCAATTTCGATGAAATTCATTAATTCCCAAGGCGGCTGGAAAGCTGTATTACGTTAGTCTCATGAACATGATATACTGATGACGCACCGAAAATGTGTACGATTTTTGAGTCAGCATATGTGCTGTTACGGTTTCTACTGGATGATCTAAAATATCCACAAATGCTAGTCAGCTAAAAGACTAACGAAATGTTTGCTCATGCATCGGTTAAAAATCTTCTAAACTTCATTGTTTTATAGAAATATTTGCATAGTAACTTATGTTTGTAACATTTAGACCAAACAAATATGTTATTGTTTATCAACCCTTTGCGCGGTTCACTAGTGTCCGTAGTATCAACAAAATGGAGCTAGTTGGTAGCGTAATAATTTGCACGGTTGCTAAGTTACGTTTCACTTTCCTCTGGAAGTTCACAGACTGGGTTTTGATATGTTGGGTGCAGTTTGAGTACAAACTTTGATGACTGACTGTCACATCAGAAAAAACTAAAAATTCATATTTGATATTTTTATTACAGCCAACACATTTGGAGTTTATCTTGGCAGCTTCGAATCTTCGAGCAGAATGCTATAGTATCCCGCAATGTCGAAACCTGTCTAAGATTTCCGAAATCGTTCAAAATGTGACTGTACCGCCCTTTGTTCCTCGATCGGGTGTACGAATTGATGTTACAGAGGCAGAAGCTCAATCAAGATCAGCTGCACCAATGGCTGATGCAACTCGACTTGAAAAAGTTCAGAAGGCATTACGTAACTTCAGTAAGTGATTCACTTTATTCCAATGATAAGAAACATCCTGTGGTTGATTTCAAATCTGTTGTTTTACTCAGTAGGTCACCTAACTTCTATCCTCCCATTGTATTTGTGCATACTGTTAAGGAACTAAATCTACAGTACTTATTTTTTACGTCTACTGAAATCTGAATGTTCTTTTAAAATAATTTACTAGTCCAACTTTAGCTATTTCATGTTTCGGATGCAGACCATCTCCAGCGTAATGATTTGATACATTGTGATGCGGTCCAAAGTAGATCGCATAGACGTAGATGCTTCAACTCCTCAAGTAAATATTTATTTGTTGTCTCCTTTCATGTACTCCTTACTTATTCAAATATCTTTCCATTTTTCCTCTCGATATTGTTAAAAATTGTTAAAATTCAAATGTGTGAATTTTAATACGAATTTTTAGATTCATGACTTTGTCTACATTTGTTTGCCTCTAGCAAGCGTACAAGCACTAGGACTAGGGATTTCTTGACTAGTGTTAATGGTCACTAGCCTCTACACAGTCTATTTATAATCCTTTTTCCTACCTTAGAGAATCTGGGTAGATTCCATCTCACACGTTATTTCGTAAAATATAAATTGACTTCGCTGATGTAACTGACTTATTATTAAGCTGTATATTTACTGAATCACTAAGTAATTTATGTGAACTACAAATGCTTTTTCTCAGGCCAAAAGGTTACACATTAATAGTACGCTTAAACTAAGTTGTTCGGCTTACAACAAATCGTTGGATAGCTTAATAGTTTATGTTAATTGTCACTTGATATTTCTCGTTTCTTTTTCATTGCTGTTAACACAGGCACCACTCCAAAACTACATGTCAACGTGATTGAATTTGAGAAAGATGATGATACAAATTTCCATATGGATTTCATCACTTCAGCAAGCAATTCAAGGGCTGAAAATTATGAAATTACTCCAGCTGATCGATTAAAAAGTAAATTAATTGCTGGTAAAATTATCCCTGCGATTGCAACGACAACTAGTTTGGTAGCTGGTTTGGTGTGCTTAGAGCTATTCAAGGTTTGTAATTATATTTCACTATAATAGTACTTTTTCTCATTTAAATGTTTTACTTTTGTTTTTCTGTGGTCAGTGTTATTTATAGAGAGCGATAAGTTGTAGTTTGTTATATGATTTACTGAAAGCTGTCTCGCATATATCAAATGAAGTGATGTGTAACGGCTGCTTTTACACAACCGTTGTTTGCTGAATTTTTTTTACAGGATAACAGTAACTAACAATTAGAGTTATTTGTTAGTTATTGACGTAATGTAACAATAACTTCATGTCTAATTCAATTCATTCAAGATTAATTTGCGTATTATGTGTTATGAAGTTCGTATTAATTATACATATTTGTTCACTTCATTTTTCATATAGCTTGTTCAAGAACACAGAAAGCTTGAACTATTCAAAAATGCTTACGTTGATTTGGCGTTGCCATTTACTTCATTTTATGAACCTGTAGCACCTGTCAAATCAAAGTACTACGATACAGAATTTTCTTTATGGGATCGGTTTGAACTTTCAGGTCATATGACCTTGCAGGATTTAGTTGACTACTTCAAAGTAAGCGTACTTTCTAAGCTGATTCACTCTTGTTATTTTAGAATAGTTTGAAGTTAAATATAACAATGCTTTCCCAAGATGTTTCTATGCTCTATGCATTCTTCATGCCAGAGGCAAGGCGTAAGGAACGTTTAGCTATGTCGTAAGTCCATTCAATAGTTTTGTGTTATATTTCACTGTCGTTTTGGATAATCGCGTAGTATTTAAATCACATTTGAGTAACCATGTATCTATTTTTTGAAGTAAATACTCCGAAAGCATTTTTTAGTAGAGTTGAATGGTGGCTAGTAGTGAAATCCAGGCATTCCGTCTCATTCCATCATCTATTTTTGCTAAATAAATTATCAATTAGTGACAATATCAATGCAATCCACACAGGATACACGTATACTGAAAGATGCTTATCAATTGCAGTTCAAAATATCAATAGGAAGATTTAAACAACCAATGCATATGAATTGAATTGTTCAAATTTATGAAATTTAGATGTTTTTAGATGTGGTAAAGTGCTGTATACATTTCCTGGATCTCGCAGAAACTATAGACTATAGAAGCTTAATTGTCAGGAACGATAATTTAAATTTCATTTAGAGTAGAATTAACACACCGAAACCTCAACAATTTGCAAGTGAGCAAATCGGTGATATTCAAAAGTATGCAAAATCATTTGGTATTAAACAGTTGTTGTGTTGGTTTTCGGTCACAGTTGCCACGTGTAAACAAAAATTGGGTTGGGATGTATCTGAGCTGGACTAATATGTTTAATCATTATGGTTTGGGTGTAAAATATGTTGACTAGGAAATACATCGTATTTTCATTATAGTCCTATGACAACCTGCATATCAGCAAATTGAATAACAGTATTATTGTTGGTAGAAAGGATTAAGCATTGAATTTACAGTTTTGAGAAAAAAAGAATTAGTGGAACAAAACGAAATTAATTTATCCGGTAGTTTAGAAACTTGAAAACTAAGAAAAAACAGTAAATACACGTACGTTATTTTAAAAATTGTTGAGTAAGATCACTCAGACTGGTTACGAAAATCGCGCAGACCCCAACCACATAATCTTCATCTGTTCCCGTGGATCACTCGAACAGTCACTATCTTCTTAGACTGATGTCACATTCTGTTTTGATCGGTGCTAGCTTCTAACCTATTGTATTATTCATTATCTCATCAAGGTAGTTGGTCCATACGTAATACATCTAACCACGTCAGTCAATTTAGCTTAATTACAGTATCAATCAATCGTCTATTCTTACGTAGTACTCAGCATCTAACCCCAAAATCGTTAACTCAGTGGTCTCAGTATACACTAACAATAGTTCGAAGTCACCAATGGTTGAATACTCGTAACCTGCGAATGACCTTAATTTTTAAAGGACACGTTTTACAACCATAAGTTAGAACGAAGCAAACTGGTTAACAGCTTAATTTTTGTTCCCGTTTACCAAGTATAATCTCTAACCAGTCGAAATTTCGCGAATACATTTTTGCATTTCTCCATATATCTCACACATTATCGTATCTTCATTTCTTATTGTTCAAAATCTATTTGACTAACACGTTTAATATAATAAAAGCACTGTCAAAGAATCTCAAAAGTGCTTGATACCTAATCACATATCATTAATAGTTTGGTTAACTTGTTCATAGTTCTATGTTTCAGTTGGATTAGACATTAAAAGTGTTTATCATTTCTTCGAATGTTTTTATTCCGAATTGATAGCATTCAAGGAGCTTATATCACTGGTTTACAGAGTAGTTACTAAATTCACTTCCGTTATTATGCGTTTAAAAAACTAGTTCTTGGTTCTATAGAATGATTATTCAGTTTTCTCTTTGTAAATAACTATATTTTTTTCAGATTAAAACAACTAGTTGAAACAGTCAGCAAACGCCAGGTACCTCCACATGTCAAAGTGCTGGTTTTCGATGTCTGTTGCAGTGATATGAATGATGAAGATGTTGAAGTGCCATATATCCGCTATGTACTGGAACCAACCAAATAAAATTCATCCATTCATGTCTTTCTCAAAAACAGGTTTCAAGTTGTCTTTTGATGATTACTTATGAAACCGAACCCCTTATAATTTATGAAATATTCCAAAAATAATTTACTCTTCCCCTACTATTTGTGTATTAACTGTGCATGAATTAACACTCAAATAAAATAAATAGTAAAATAATCTATATGTATTCTGCGAATGCAGAAAGTTATGGACATATTTTCTTGTCACTCCACCTTACCGTAAAACGATTTGTATAATGTATGTTGATATTTATGTCGAACCTCTGTTTTTTTCTGCATTCGACTCAGTTTTCGTATGGAAATCTTTGAATTTATGCTTACTTCTGGGTGATTTAACTTCATGGATTATTTTTATCAGTTTTCTTTATGCAATGTTCTAATTTCAGAATGTTGGGTTTCAACAATATTTACAAATATATGGTTTACGTTACTAGCGATTGACATTGTAAACATTGTATTTTCCACACTATATATACCATGGGTGCTATCTCTTGAGTCGTGGTTGGTTTGTTGGTGTAGTGCATTTACAGTGAGATAGTTTGAGTTTTGTTGGACAAATTTGTGTACTACTACTAAATAAAACAACACTATTTCTCACTTCAGCGTCTAAGATTCATTCTTTATATATGTGGAAGATCTAGCAATGACGGCGGAAAAGGCTGCAAGAGACGGAAACTTGAGACAATTGTACAAAACAACAAAGAAGCTGGCCGGAAACTATCGTAAACCAGAACGACCAGTGAAAAGCAAGGAAGGCAAAGTAATCAGCAACACTGAACAACAGCGAAATAGGTGGGTAGAGCACTTTAAGGAACTATTGAATCGACCAGCTCCACTGAACACACCCAACATCGAAGCAGCATCCACGGACCTCCCAATTAATATTGGCGTACCTACGACTGAGGAGATCAGTACAGCCATCAGACAAATCAAGAAACGCAAAGCAGCAGGACCAGACAACATTCCAGCAGAGGCAATGAAAGCAGATGTAGAAGCAACTGCGAAAATATTTCACATCTTCAAGAAGATTTGGGACGAGGAACAATTACCATCAGATTGGAAAGAAGGATACCTGATCAAAATTCCAAAGAAAGGCGATCTCAGCAAGTGTGAGAACTACAGGGGCATCACTCTTCTTTCAATACGAGGCAAAGTCTTCAACAAGGTATTGTTAAACAGAATGAAGGACTTCGTAGACACCCAACTTCGAGATCAACAGGCCGGATTTCGTAAGGATAGATCGTGTACTGACCAAATTGCAACATAACGGATAATTGTGGAACAATCAATTGAATGAAACTCATCACTCTACATCAAATTCATCGACTACGAGAATGCATTCGATAGCGTGGATAGGAAAACACTGTGGAGGCTTCTTCGACAATACTGTGTGCCTGAGAAAATAGTTAACATCATACGGAACTCTTATGATGGATTCAACTGCAAAATCGTGCACGGAGGTCAGCTGACAGACTCTTTCGAGGTGAAGACCGGTGTCAGGCAAAGGTTGCTTACTCTCACCCTTTCTCTTTCCCCTGGTGATCGACTGGATTATGAAAACGTCAACATCTGGAGGGAAGCACGGTATCAACTGGACAGTTAGGACGCAGCTGCACGATCTGGACTTCGTAGATGACCTGGCTCTCCTATCTCACACGCAACAACAAAGTCAAGAGAAGACTGTGAGTGTAGCAGCAGCCTCTGCAGCAGTAGGTCTCAACATACATAAAGGAAAAAGCAAAATTCTCCGATGCAACACAACATGCACCAATCAAATCACTCTTGATGGAGATGTCTTGGAGGACGTTAACACCTTTACATATCTTGGCAGCATCATCGACGAGAAAGGTGGATCCGATGCAGATGTGAGGGCGCGGATTGGCAAAGCAAGGGCTGCATTTCTACAGTTGAAAAATATCTGGAACTCCAAACAACTTTCAACCAAAACCAAAATCAGGATTTTCAATACAAATGTCAAGACAGTCCTACTGTATGGAGCGGAAACCTGGAGAACTACGAGAGGCATCATCCAGAAGATACAAGTGATTATTAACAGTTGTCTACGCAAAATACTTCGGCCAGACACCATCAGTAGCAGCCTACTGTGGGAGAGAGCAAACCAGATTCCAGTGGAGGAGGAAATCAGGAAGAAGCGGTTCAAGTGGATAGGACACACTGTGAAAACACCTAACTGCATCACGAGACAAGCCCTCGCATGGAACCCTCTAAGTGAAAGGAAAAGAGGAAGGCGAAGGAACACATTACGCCGAGAAATAGAGAAAGACGAGTAGAATGAACAAAAATTGGACAACATTGGAAAGGGAAGCCCAGGACAGAGTTGGTTGGAGAAAACTGGTGGGCGGCCTATGCTCCATTGGGGGTAACAGGCGTAAGTAAGTAATATGTTTGTGAGGTTGCAGTTTCCGTTCATTACATAATTTTGAATGCCTAACGATGAAAGCTATTATTAGATTAGTCACTATCATCTGCAGCATAACTAGATGATCAGCATGATGAGATATCAAGAACATCTGAAATCGGTTCAGTGAATGTGGTTCATGATTCAGGTATTACATGCATCTAATAATATCGTTTATTAGTTAGGCTGATAATTGAAGCAAACAAATACTGTATTTCGTTGCTGTCGTAATGAGGAGCCTTGTGTTTCTAATTTTGTGTGAAAAGTTTGAAGTGCAGATATTTTGTATGGTCACCATGGGATCTTTACCTGAAGCTCCATTTGTTTGATAGTACCCTTTTATAGGTCAGTCAACTCCAGTGGTTGTGTTCTCTGTTTATTGTTCCTAATCTTGATGACCATTCCATAATAGTGTTCTCTGTATTGTTAGTTTAAATCCGTATTATAAATGTGACTGATAGCTTTGAGGGCCGTTAGAAGTTAACAAGTGGTTGTCACTTTTCAATTTCTACCGCCATAAAAGGATATTCCATATTAGAGGACGAAAACATTACTCAGCAATCGAAAGGGAAGTTGGCTGACGCATTAGTTTCGTACTCTTCTGTTAAAACGCTAAGTTGGAACAAGATAAGGTATACTACTTTTAGAAGTAACTTTCTTGGATAGAGGGATATCTGGTAATACTGGTTGTATGGGGAACACCCTGCTATTATCATGCTACAATAAAGTTAGCATCGCGATTGTCGTTATCGACCTGCTTTTAACGATCCGCTACAGAATATAGTACTTAGTTTTAGAGGGTTTATATATTTTTATCTGGTTTTCGGTATCTAGTCTAACTACAGCAGCAGTAGACCAATAAATTACATTCCGAATAATCTAATCACTGATAAGTTTATTAAGATATTTGTTTAGGAAACAAAACGGTTGAATCGAATGGAAGAGAACACGCGGAGAAACAAAGATAAATTAAAAACAGGAGTTACGTAAAGGTTCCTGACAAGTCAAGATCATATTCCGTCAGCAAGTAAAATCAGCTGTTAACTGAAATTACAACCAAGATCAAGTGAAACAGGTCTAATCAGTGTTGATTTTTGTATAGGACAAGTAGTAGGACTATGTACTTTCCCTCCGGTTTCGTGAATCTCACCTCCTAACCCTTATCCTCAATCAGTGGGAAATACTTTTTCGGTTATAGTTTGTCGTTACTAAATGACGGAATAGACTTGGAAGTTGTGTAGTTTCACCCTTTTTCGTAGGGGAAAACTTAGAAATGGATTTCCGATAGGATTACGTACAGTTCCCAAATTCTACCTGCGCTCTCAGCCAATCTAACTACTTAAACTGGATCATCATACTTGAAAATCTTAGGGGTTAACCTATCAGGTCATCCTGCTATCACTCGCTTTAGATTTCCTATAACACTCCAAGTTCATAAAGAGTCGGACAACTTACATCGACTTGTCATTCAGGTTGACTGCAGAACGTGGGCAACAGAAGTATGACTGAAGTGTTCTACCCATCGGTGCAATCTCCTGGATTGAGAATGAATAATAGTCCCATCCTCCTCCAAGATAGTCTCGCTAACAGTTGTATTCCTAGTACGCGTTTTCGTGATAATACTGAAAAGTTGTCTACTGTTAACTATCATCGCGGCCTTTTCCATCGCACTTGCTTTTGCTATTCACTACTGTTCGCTATCATTGTGTAAGCTTGTTATGAGCCTGCGATAAAGCTGACTCCGCTGTTGGTTGTGTTCGGAGCCAGACGAGATGAGTTTCCGAGCATGCTACTGAGATGCACGGCTTCTTCCTAACCTTGTTGTTTTAAGTTACTGTCAGATATCACTGCTGTTTCCACGGCATTCTGGATATTATTCCAATCTGGCTCGGGGTGGGCATCACTTACGTGACTGCCTAGTTGCTCCTGAAACATAGTTTTGTCTGTGTTTGTATTAGGTAGAACTGTGGAGGGTTTCCTTGCGATGGTTTTGCTGCGTGCAGTAAGACGCAGAAAAATACGCGCTAGTACTAGAGCATGTTGTGAATCTAAACATGTGCTCCGGAACGAGTGACAGTCTTTTATCGAGCCTCTCCATCGGTGGCTGAAAGCGATATGGTAAAGTCGGATCCGGCGTTGAGACGACTTTGGGGGTCGTCGTGTCAATAGATGTTTTTCCTTATGCTTGAAGTTGGTATTTGCTAGAAATAGGCGGTTTTCTTAGTATAGGTGCATCAGCAGACGGTCGGCATTGTCTGTATTTTGAGTCGTGACACCATTAGATCCACCAGTTGTCTTTCATTTTCACTTAGTCTACCTACTTGAGCATTGAAGTCACCAGCGATTATTACTACATCAGAGCGCTTAAGTTTTTTAAGTAGGCTAGAAAGCTTTCTGTAAAACTGATCTTTTATTCTTTCCGAGCTGCAGTCTATGAGTGCAGCGTGAGGCAACGAATAGGCATTGGCTATTTTCTCTATCTTTACGAGTCTTTACTGTCCCATTTAGTCGGCTAGCACATAAGCGATTTTCTACCGGGATTGAGTCTAAGAGAGCTTGTG